ATATACCTTCTCATTTTATTTTGCTTAATTGAATCCATATAAGAAGTAAGATAGAACCGGATAGTCTTCTTGACTTAGTGTTAGCGTGAGACTTTTACAAGAAGGAGTTCCAGCCCTGATAATGTCCATCATATGATGGACGATGGCTCAGCCCGTTTGCACCCGAAGCGAATGAGAATGCCTCGTCGACTGCGTCAACCTGAACGCCGTATTAAAGCCAAGCGGCTACAGTACAACGGGATTCAGACGTCGTCTTCTGATGAGATCAACCTACGAATCTCTTCTCCATGCACTTTCATAAGAAATGAAGGTCCCTCAACAATTGTGGAATCCCAACTCTTACTAGATTCTATAGCTAGAGATCAAGGCTATACAAATATGTCATGGATACAAAGAATTAACCCTCAAAATGGCATGTGTAGGCCCGCAATACCATTAAAGTTCATCTGGTCTTGCCTCAAAAAAAGCCTCATTCAGGGAGGCAAAGCTAAATCACATTTACTAGCATCAAAAGGCCTGTCAATATATTTAGGAAAATCCTACTATCAGACCAAGGAGACTACGTTATCAAGAGATAACAGAAACGTCCACAATATGATCAAATGTGGTCTCCTCTAACCCCAACCTAGTGGTAGAGACTGCACAGTCAATATAACACGCATGCTAAAAGACACTAAAATAATTAAATGATTGTTAAATCAGCCAAATGATGCATATTTACCTCGTAAAGTGTAGCTAAAGTAACCAATATCTGGCCAAGGTGCATTTGCACTAGACCAAACTGATCTTCAGTGAATGAAGCTACACTAAGCTGACTAATCAGCTGGATGCTCCAGACAACCAGCTGACCGCTGGCAATAAAGGTTTGGTTACTACTCAACGAGAGATTAGCCCCACCAGAGGAAAAGATATGAGCCGTCTCTGCAAGGGGCATGTCGATGGTGAGCCAGGCGAGCACTGGGAGGCGACGGAGCAGGGGAATTAACTGAGGGATGAAGAATGGCATATGGCAAAAATGTAAAAGCTATAAAAGTTCGCATGGAAAGTTATCAAACAGAGATATAAGGCAGATTTTTAACATTAGAGTAGGGTTTCGAGACTACCAGCATTACTACTGTATATACATTGAGTTAGTAGTCTAAATATTGGCAGTTAAAACAGAAAGGATGCGAGGTTTATATTCATTTGAGAAATCCTTTAATGTGTCATTATTTGTCATATATATATATATATATACATATATACTTGGAGAATTTTTCACAGTTACCATTAAGTCAACAACGGAAAAACTTAGCGTTCAATTAAAACTAGTAAAAGGAAATATGTCAGCAATGATGATAAGTAATATAAAGGGATAAAAATGCATAACACAATAATAGGATTGGTTTAAACCTTTAAAATACGTTAGGGTCTGGATGAGGAAGCCATTAAAAGCTGCTGGGCGAATTATTATGAAGTCAAGGTATTTAAACGGTTAAAATAAATATATTCATAATTGGTAAGTTTCGAGACTATCAGTAGATCTTGAATAATAAATACATTAACTTTGAATAGCATGTGTTAAAGAGTTGATAATTGGATTTTCCTAAGCTTAGTTTACGCAAAGCTATTTACTTTCGCCTGCTCTTGCCCTATAGGGTGGATTACAGTTTTGACTTCGCCTAGTTCTTATTCGGACCCCCAAAGTAAATCAAACTTGGGAAATGCAGCCCATATAGGACAGGTGCGGCCTTTAAGATAAACCAGGCCTATATTATATCATATTCATAATAGCGATTTTAACTATCCAAAACGGTATTTTGTTAATATAATCAACTAAGTTACATTAATTCATAATAAAGCTCTATACAGCTCTGCTCTGCGACCGAGTGGCATCCGCTGCTGCGTAATGGTAAGATTTATAAAATATACGCTGCAATATAGGGATATATTGCCGTTTTGGATGATAAAGAGACCTAGGCGTCTTTATAGACTTAAATAGATTGGAGGATATGACTCTCCGGAATAATTATATACATTGGAAATATGTCAATGGGGCAAAATTAAAGTGTGTGTAGTTACCTGAAGGCTAAATCTGAACTTGACATTATATCCAGGACTAAAAGTGTCAGGAGAGTTGTCTTTGAGAGAAGTCTGCTTCTTAACGTTGGGTGTCGAAAGGCTAGAAAAGTAACTAGATACTCCACGGGAATGGTTAGCGTAGGCCATTTGCATCTTTGAATTGATTATTGCTGAAAAATATAATAAAATATATGGCATTAATTACCTTTACAAACGGCTTATAAAGCGACTTAAGTATTTTTTAAAGCATTTAGATAAATTTTTCAAGTTAGGACAATAAGGTATTCTTAAAAACGTTAGATAAAAAATTAATTAAGATGAGCTAAATGATATATATAGCCTAAAAAGAGTGAAAGGGGCCGGTCGGAAGCATTAGTGATGCTATAAGTTAATGATAGTTAAACAAACAAATTGAAAGGAGCTTAATTTTTCAAACTAACTTCAACACAAATTTGATTTTTAAAAATTAAGATTCAAACATAGATTAGCGTTTCTCAAAGCCGGAAAAACAATCAGCAAAATTGGGAACTAAATTACATACAGATGTATTCCAACCTCTAAATGT